TCCCTCATGAATCAATGAAAACCTTCTAATTTGCAGAAGGGCTTCTTCTTCCATATATAATAGACTCTCGCAGTAAATTAATATACATTTATAAGGAAAAAGAGTGTTATTTCACATTTCCGGTCATTGTTCATTTTCCTGCCTAGGGTTCATTATTTTGTACATGTGTTGCTTGGCATGAAACAGAAAATCAACAGGATTCCATGTTGTAGTATTTCCTGAGTGCTGATAAGGATTTGACAGAGGAAATGACAGATGTAAATACAGACAATTGCTGATACGGGTATAGAAGTCCCGAAATGTGTGAATGATGCCGATCGACAACAAAAAGCTGTCATGCATACATTCATTTCTATCTGCTGGGCTGCATTCATCCCAAAAAGGTTCTATTCTCCACACTGCTTAAAGTGGAGTTCCACCCAAAAGGGGAAGTTCCACTTTAAAGATTGTTCCCCCCGCTCCCCATTAAGGATTGGCACCTTTGGGGAGTGGGGGGGGGGGGGGGGTACCTGAATTTGACAGGTACCCTCTCCCACTTCTGCTGCGATCGCCTAGGCAATCAGAAACGGAAGTTTTCCTCCTACCCTCCTCCCCGAAGTCTTGTGGGACATGTGACAGGTCCCAGAAGACTACGGGGCTACTCGTGCATGCGCAATGGGCACCCGGCCGTGAAGCAGCAAGCTGTCATAGCTGGGTGTCCACACTGAAGATGCCGGCCTCTTGAAATACAGGACGGCCGGTGAAACGGGCTGCGGTTGGGGCAATTCGGGATCATGGGACAGGTGAGTGGCTATTTTTTTTTTTATGACTTTTAATTAGTAACTCTGCTTTTAATGAGTAAGTGCAACTCCGCTTTATATATAAAAAAATATATATATATATATATATATATATATATATATATATATATATATACACACACATACTGTATATATACACATGATGGCATTCAAGTCAAACCGGGACTTTTAATTTTACAGGTTTAAAAAGGGATGCAAGCGTGGCGGTACTACATGCAGTAGTAAATGGCAAATGCGTCCTGTTACTAATAGGTGGTGCGCATGTTGCGGGCCAGTCTAGAGACCGTTAATCGAGATAACAGTGTTAGTACGTGCATGGAACAGCGTGTGATGATGAAGTTTCTTGTGAACGAAGGTGTAAAACCCACTGATATCTACAGAAGACTTCAAGCACAGTACGATGATGAGACACTCAGCCAGTCTAGAGACCGTTAATCGAGATAACAGTGTTAGTACGTGCATGGAACAGCGTGTGATGATGAAGTTTCTTGTGAACGAAGGTATAAAACCCACTGATATCTACAGAAGCACAGTACGATGATGAGACGCTCAGCTGCAGTAAGACATTTGGACGACATAAACATAAAATATATAAAAGTACACTTAACAAGTAAACAAGTAGCGCATAAATTCTTATCCGCGTGGAGAATGACAAAAATATATATATGAAAAAACAGAAAAATGGATAAATAAAAAAATGTTAAAAAGTTAAATCAAAAATAGATGAAAAATAAATAAAGTGTATAGTCCCAAAAAAAAAAGTCCAAATAATATTAATTTATCCACCAAAAAGTTCTTCAAAAACGTCTTAATAGATGACCACCACGTGATAGAATATATTGAAGAAAAGTATGGTGTTCCCCCCTCTCAGGTGTACACTCACCAGCAAGTGTTGCCTCCCACTCTCATGGTTGGCAAAATTTGTTTAATATACGTTCAATGAAGATAAATAAAAGATGGCCGTACATTGATGATCCCGGCCGTGGTGGTTCCCAGCCCACAGCAGGCATTCCTGTGAACATTCAGCACGTGGAAGGCCTGATCCTGGAAAATTGATGCATAGCCTGTCATGAAATTGCACAGGAGACGAATCTTTGTGTGGGAACAGTGAACACAATGATGAGGAAGTGAAGCAACCTGTCCTAGGATGGTTCAGCCGTACTGACAAATTTTTCTATGCTGAAGCTTTCCAGGCATTAGTTAAGCACTGCAATAATTGTATGAATGTAGTTTCCACTCCTTGAAATTTGTTCTGTTTAAATAGCAGGTCTAAATGTAATTTTAAGGGCTTTTGAGTCAAAAATGAGTTGACTCAATGATGTCAAAGAATGTTCTGATGAATGATCTTTCTATGAATGTTAAAAATAAAATCTGTGTTTTTAATTTTAGTTTCGGACAGAGAAGGGAAGGATTGCAACCCTTGCCATTATTTTTTTATTGCCATCTGTGTCCCAATTAGGCTGATTTACTCTCTGTGTGACAATGACAAATAAAGTCAGAAAGTTGGTGGGAAATCCAAAAGTTTAGAGTTGTTGTCTGAACAAGAGGCAAAAATGAATCTATCCATGGAGTCACCTGCTCAGGTGACAACTAAGAGCGGATTTCCTTTTACTTTGTAGAGATTCCATTTTACTTCCTGTCCATCTCCAGCACGAGAAGAAAAGAAAATCACCCCCCTAACTGACCAGGGTTTCACTCTTCCTTATTCTATCCAAAGCTGATATAAAAAAAGTTTTGGCTCTACGATCAATTTAAATTCTGAATATAGAAAAACAATAATCATATAAAAATTACACAATTTTAAAGATAATTTGTACAGCCCACCAGCTAGAGCTTATGTACAATTTGTATAAACACTTCCCCTTGAAAATGAAAAAGAAAAACCTTTATCCACCACAATTTTGTTTGTCTCCAAACATTCAATGCAGTTTAGTAAAAATGTATTTACTCTTACTTAGAGGCAACGTCAACACAGCTATTTCTTATAAAATGATAAGTGAATATTCATGACAAAACTTTAACCACATGCCGCCCAGCCACTGTAGAAAAAAACGGCGGTAGAGCGGCACAGTTAGGCAAAACCACGTTTTAAAGCGTGTGTTTTCAAAACATGTAGGGGGCGCGCGCGAGGCGCGTCTCCGCCCTACCTGTCCCGCCGATCATGGCCGCAGATGTCAGTCGCCGGGTCACAGGCGGTCGTTACCGGCTGTGTCCCGCCGATTAGCGGCAATCACTGACAGAGAGCAGGGCTGCAGTAGCTCTGCTTTCTGTCAGTTCCCTGACAGCTCCTGACATGCTGAGCCAGAGAGAAGAGTTTATCTCTCCAGATCAGAAGTGTTCCCTGCAGTACACACCCCCGCCCCCCTAGTAAAACACTTCCCTCATACAGTTAACCCTTTCAGTAAATAAAAAAACTTAACCCCTTCCTCCCCAGTGCCATTAGTACAGTGTCAGTGGGTTTTTTTTTGCACTGATCACTGTATAAGTGTCACTGGGGATGTCAGTGACCCCAAGTCAGTTCCCCCCAGTGTCAGAATGTCCACCGCAGTCCCGCCATAAGTCGCTGATTGCCGCCATAAGTCACTGAACGCCACCATAAGTCGCTGATCGCCGCCATTATTGGTATAAAAAAAAAAATTAAAAATCCCAGTATCTTTCCCGCCATTTGTAAATGCTATGACTTTCACGTAAACCAATTAATTTACACGTATTGGTTTTTTTTTTTAGCAAAGACGTTGCAGAATGCATTTTGGCCGAAATTTATGATGAAATTTGATTTTTAAATTTTTTTTACTGGACATGTTTTATAGCAAAAAGTCCAAAATATTGTTTTTTTTTTCTCAAAATTATCAGCCTTTTTTTTATAGCTCAAAAAATAAAAAACGCACAGGCAATCAAATACCACAAAAATAAAGCTCTATTTGTGTGAAAAAAAAAGGATGTAAATTTAATTTATGTACCGGAATGCATGACCGCGCAATTGTCCATTAAACTAGCGCAGCGCTGTATAGCAAAAAATGGTGTAAATTACAGTATCTATACCATAGTTTGTAGACGCAATAACTTCCACACAAAACAATCAATATACACTTATTGGGATTTTTTTTTACCAAAAACATGGAGCAGAATACATTTTGGCCTAAATGTATAACTAACTTTGAGTTTACTATATATTTTTTATAGCTGAAAGTAAAAAATATCGTCGTTTTTCTTCAAAATTTTTGGTCTTTTTTTGTTTATAGCGTGAAAAATAAAAAGCGCACAGATGATCAAATACCACTGAAATAAAGCTCTATTTGTGTGAAAAAAAGGACGTAAATTTTGTTTGGGTGCAGCATTGCATGACCGCGCAATTATCAGTTGAATTAGTGCACCGCCGAGTAGCAAAAAGAGGCCTGGTCATTAAGGGGGGTAAATCCTCAGGAGGGCAAGTGATTAATATAAAGTATTTAAAACCACATTTTTAATACAATTTTGGAAACAATAGAGAAAGGTTTTTAATTTTTTTGTATCCCATTGGGGATATTTTACTTCTTTTCATGAAGCACAGAAAGTGAGAGATGGTTGTTTCAAATAAAAAAAAAAAAAAATCCCCTCTTAGACAGTTGTTACAAAAAAAAAAGCTTCCTCATTGGGAGATTCCCTATCTATTCTTGCTCTGGTGACATCTCATAACTTTGTATTTTCCCTTATTTTCACTCCCACCAGGACAAGCAAAGAGAAAATAAATCTCCCTAGTGGGGACACAGCAAAAAAAACCAGAAATGGGTTCTAACCCATCCTTACTCTATCCAAATTTAGTATACCTCAAGGCAAATCTTTTTAGATTTGAAAAGAGTGGCAAGGGGTTAGAACCATGGTCAGGTTTCAATTACGGTTTGTGTCTCCGTTAGGGAGATTCAATCTCTTTAATTGTCTTGATCATCAATGTCACTGAGAATGAAAGTGAAGGGAAACCCAAACTGCCACCAGAACAGGAATATATGTGAAATCTTCCAACGGGGACGCTTTCTTGGAGAGGACATGTCTCACATTGGAAGTAGCTCCTCTTAATTCTTGCTGCCACTACGAGACAAGAAGTCAAGGGAATTATCCCTAAAGAGACATGGATGGGAAAAATGGTTCACTACTCTATCAAAAATGGAAAAAAATTGTTCCTGCCCAATACCACAGTGAACTGGAGAACACATTAATGCACTTACCGAATGTTGAATTCACATATATAGAGTCCATGGCAGTAAGCTGTGTCACTGAGTTATTGGCCACACATGTGTAAGTCCCCTCATTCTCAGCCTTCTCTTGATCTACCTCAAGCTGGCTCTGCTGTTTTAGAACTGTCTCATTCAGTTTCCAATAGTAGATGGCGGGTGGGACAGAATCAGCAGAACATTCTAATAAAATTAAAGAATTTGAAGATGACGTGGATTTTACTTTCACGTTTTCTGGGCCATCTGCAATAACAAAAATCTCTGGTATCAGAACAACAGGACTGAAGAAGGAAACACGTTGAAGTAAAATGCTTAACTATTGGAATTGGAGAAATGGAGAAATACATGCTACGCTGCCCAAGGTATGATAACAGGGGGTTCCGACCATCAGACCAGCCGTTCAACCATTCCAACTTGTTATCTAACACAAAGGGTCTTTTTTTTTTTTGAGAAATCACAAGCTTCCTTCTAAAATAATTGTGTTCTGAGTCCCAGGACAAGCATCAAGTAAAAGAAAAGTTAGAAAAGTTGGAAATCGTTATCGTTACTTGTTCTGGATTAGTGATGCATTCTACACTGCCCAAAGGGTGATCATGAGTGTTTCCAACCCTCAGAAGCAGTAAATCTATCAAATTTCATGGAAATCACTAGCTCCCTTCTGAAATTCCTAGTTGACTTTTGATTCACAGGCCTGGGACAAGCATGCAGCAAAGGAAAATCAGAGAAAAGTTGGAATTCCTTAGACCTATAAAGCTACAACCGCTCCAGGCTGTTGCTCATGTACTTAGCCGATCACTTCTCCACTGTTCTATAAGGTGCACGCCGGCCCACCAGTCATCATTAGAAAACACAAAAGAAATCCAGATGGCTGCACTTCTTAATGGGTTTATTGTAAAATATCACACATGGACATCATGCAACAGTGGGGGAAAGAAGAAGATGACATGCTTTGCACCCATCTGGCACTTAGTCATTGCAATTAAGCGTCAGAGGGCCGTGAAACGCGTCATCTTCTTCTGTCCTTATGTCCCGCACTATTGCATGACATGCATATGTGATATTTTAGAATAAAGCCCTTAAGAAGTGCAACCATTCAGATTTCCATTGTGTGTTCCTTAGATCTATACATGTTCTGGGTTAGTGATGCATACAGTAGTAAATCAAAAGCATTAACATTACCACCACAAGGCAAATCACATTTTAAGATTGAGAGTTGAGCAATGTAAGCCCACAAAGTTCTCCAATAATGGGTGTACTTCAAGTTTAATCTAAAGTCAAAAATGACTTTCAGTCTGCTAGTACCCAATGGAAATGTCATCCGCTTCCCTTCTGCACTCAACTGGGTCTTCTTTGAGCAGAAAAGGCTCTGACTGGCTTATTAGGCAGCCAATCAGAGCCTTTTCCCCACACAACTTAGTTTCAAATGCTAACAAATGGAAAAGCGAGACAGTGGCCACAAGGACAAAATAGAGTTGGGGGACAAGTGGTCATATTTTGTAATAGGAGCTACATGAAAGCCTAAAAAATGAGCAGCATATAAACAGCTCATGTGATCCCAGCCTAAATCTAAGTCTGTCCACACATATTACAACGATTTTCAATTTGATAAATGTGTTCAATTTCCCATTCTTTGCTTATAATGCTGCCATGATGATGTGATTTCTTTTTTACATTTTATCTGATTTAAAAATGATTAGCTATAACCAGTAATATATGGATTACTCTGCAAGATTTGAAATTTAAAAATGCAAATGAAAATAAAAAAATAAATAGCATACCGCACATGCTGCAAACTGGTCAGAAATAACAGAAAAAGGATGTTATCGCCCTTGTCTAATTAATATTTTATTCTATCCATTCTAGAAATCTATTTTTAATCAGTCAATACACACAGCAGTCATCACACCAACTGGATTGCAAAATAGATCAAAATGGCAATTCTCATGCTCAGATTGTAATATGTGTGGGCATGGTAAATAGAATTAGACACATCCAGGTTTATGCAATAAATTACATTTTCAGGCTTAACCTCCCTGGCGGTATTCCCGAGTGTAGCTCGGGGTAAAGTTTCAGTACCAAAAGCGGTAACCCCGAGCTACACTCGGGCTAACCATGCGGTGTCGCTCAGGGATTCCCTGTAGCACTTACCTTGTCCTTCGCTCCCGCGATGCGTCCCCTGCCGTGTTCCCGGCCATCTCTTCCGGCCGATGCCAGCATCTGGCTTCCGTGTTCCGGTCCCTGCAAGTGTCGGGACGTACGGGGGCCGGAACGGCGGCAAATTTAAAAATTTTTAGAAACTGTCATTTTCTTAGAAATTATTTTGACATAGTAAAACATTACTGTATCAAACCATTTCACATACATTTTGTCCCGAGTGCTTTGTCCTGTGCCCTGCCTGCATTTTTACTGTTCTTTCTGCCTGGAAACTTAGAAAAGTCCATTGCGTCCAAAAAGCGTCCCTTTTGGTCAAAAGCAGTTTTAGACCGGCTAGAGAACAGCGATAGTAAATCAGAACCACTTGCAGAATTGAGTGATAATGATTCGTGGGGGAAATTCGTCATCAGACACTGAAAACGATTTTGCGACTTTGCTCAGCGATGTGCGAATTTGCCTCTGTATTTCAAATTTCAGTGTTTTTGGTTTGATTATATTATTGAATTAAATGTATTATTATATTACTATTTTTTATGATTATTTATTAATTTATAATTTATGATTTTGTGTTTCAAGTTTTATCATATCCGGAATGTTTACTAGACTCTTGTTCGGACAGATTTCAGTGAGTTATTCCTAAAAATTACAGGCCTACAATAAAAAAACAACATATTTCCATGCAAAAAAATGTACCACTTTCAGCACAGAAATATGGACATAATCAGACCGCTAGGGAGGTTAAAGTGATACTAAACCCAGGACCCTGCATTCACTATATCTGGTCTCCCCGGACCCTGCATTCACTATATCTGGTCTCCCCGGACCCTGCATTCACTATATCTGGTCTCCCCGGACCCTGCATTCACTGTATCTGGTCTCCCGGACCCTGCATTCACTATATCTGGTCTCCCACAGCACATAGAACATGGAAATGCAATTATTTTAGTAAATATAAACTGCTAAATACCGTATCTCATCAGCAGTTAGAGCAGTCTTAGGACTTCAGCAGAGCACTGATTAAAGCTTGTAGGAGGAGTTTTTTCTTTCTGCTCTAGGAGGATGTGAAACCTCTGACCCTCTGGACAGTGCTGATTGACCCTGTGCTGATCACATGCACCCTCCGAAGAAAAACAAAACCTCTCTAGCAACACACACCAAACTGACCATGTGCATGTGACCACAGGTTCAGTCTGTATCAGGTGGTCATTGCAACAAGAAGAGGGGCAGAAAAGACAGGATCAAACATCCTTTTTACTGTACATAATTCAGAGGATTAACCCCTTAGATTGCAAAGTGAGTATAACAAGCATGCTTTACTGCAGATACAGACTGATTGTACTGTTTTGGGCTTAGTAACACTTTAAAGGAAAATTCTATATTAGTTAAAGTTCAAGCTCTCTTACATAGTGCTCTCTGTTTTTAGCCTCCAATGTTGCTGAATCAATGATTAGAACTAGGCAGTAAAGGCAAACTGAAGATGGCTGGGTGGTCAAAAAGAATGATGCCCATTGGCCAACTGAAGGTTTTTAATTTGTGGATGCTTCCCGATTCATACAGTAGTATAATGGAGGCAATTCTAAGTTTACAAGTTAATTGTGCCGTCAATGGTTTGTATGGTCAGTCTGTTTAGGGCTAACTTTTTTTTAAACAATTGTAGCTATACTTAACATTATAAGCCTTATGCAGGATTATTTGTTAAAGAATCATATTTCCCCCTTTATTTAGTTTTATTTACTTTGTCTAAACATAGCCATGTGGAGCCAAGAATCAAAACTGGAAAGCCTTTGAGGTCTGATAGTTGCTGCCCTTCTTTATCATTAATCATAATTCTAGCAAAGCCTGACCAATTCCTGCCCCCCCCCCCAAACCATTGTGCTTTGCTGTTCTCTAATGCTGGCACCCTTCTTTATTCTGATATTTTCTTTGAGTTCCCTTTCTTGAGTTAGTGACATGCAAGGATGATGAGCTCGGTGAAATTCTGCACACGCACGCAATGTGGTGTAGATTACAAGAAGCCAAAGAAGGAGCTGTAACACGATTGTTGGAGCATTGACTAGACGTGTGCATTTCGTTTCATTAACCTCCTTGGCGGTCTGACTATTTCCGATTTTTTGTGCTGAAAGCGGTACATTTTTTTGCATGGAAATATGTAGTTTTTTATTGTTGTATGCTGTAATTTTTAGGAATAACTCACTGAAATCTGTCCAAACAAGAGTCTATTAAACATCCCGGGGATGATAAAATTTGAAACACAAAATCATAAATTATAATTTAATAAATAATCATAAAAAATAATAATATAATAATAATAAATTTAATTCAATAATATAATCAAACCAAAAACACTGAAATTTGAAAAACAGAGGCAAATTCGCACATCGCTGAGCAAAGTCGCAAAATCATTTTCAGTGTCTGATGACGAATTTCCCCCACGAATCATTATCACTCAATTCTGCAAGTGGTTCTGATTTACTATCGCTGCTCTAAAACCGCTTTTGACCTAAAGGGACGCTTTTTGGACGCCATGGACTTTTCTCAGTTTCCAGGCAGAAAGAACATTCAAAATGCAGGCAGGGGACAGGACAAAGCACTCGGGACAAAATATATGTGAAATGCATTGAAACAGCAATGACAGCAAAAATGACATTTTTAAAAAATTTCAAATTTCCCGCCGGCGCCCGTACGTCCCGACGTCACAGGGACCGAAACACAGAAGCCGGATGCCGGCATCGGCCGGACCCCCAGAGCAGCGCCGCATGGTAAGCCCGAGTGTAGCTCGAGGTTACCGCTTTTGGTATAGAAATTTTACCCTGAGCTACACTCGGGAATATCACTAAGGAGGTTAAGAATCTATTTGATTTTCGGAAATTCAGATGTATACGAATCTCCTAATGGACATAGTACCGGATATCAGCGAATCAAAAAAAATGTTAAAACAAAAACTAATGCATTTGTTTCATTCGGATGACGTAACATGATGCTGTAGTAGTTTGGGCCCATGGGGAAATGAATAAAATTTGTTTGATAACTCAGATTTGGATAATGAATGGATATGAATTTCATTCCATTTGTTAATTCGGATGCAGCTGACACCAGTCAATATTGTCCAATCATATCATGCCATTTCGCTTGGTGAGTTGAACCAGCGTCCAAAAATAGTGGATCCTTCCGATTCTAATCCATCTGATTCGACAATATATAGAATATATAGCAATCTTCCAGAAAAACAGCAACATTTTTCAAATTCAATTTTTGAATTTGAATAATTGATATTGAAATTGATAATTTGAATTTGAGTAAATTTGTGATTTAAATTGAATTTGTAAATTGTCAGTCAGTTCAGTTCCACAGTCGAATGCAAGTCTTAAGTTTGAAAAATTCGGGGGCCACCAAATTTTGAATGATTTTTTTCTGTTGCGTCCAAAAACATGGAATCCTTCCGATTAGTTTTGATATATGATTAATGAATCCACCCGAAATCTTGAAACTGAAAACTGATATACAGCAATCTTTCAAAAAAACTGCACAATTTTTTTGTACTCCACCCAGACCAACAACTATACAAAACGAATGGCAGAGATACGAAACAAATTCCGAAAAGGAATCGGTTCAACAAAACGAATGTGATGAAACAAAATTCTTCAATGAATGAATGCATCTGAAACAGAACAAAACCTTCCGGCGTGCACATGTCTAGCAATGATTGCCGTTGTCATGTGGGCATTGTGAGTTCCTCAGAACAGAATCTCAAAGATGGTGTAAAAAAGGTAAATGGTTGCATGTGCAACACATACAGTACACTATAGAAAAATGAGGAGTTTTTCCATTGCATGAAAGGTTATAAGGGTCATCCTCAACTCTAGGTACACACTAAAAATCTATAAACTCGATTTTAAAGTTTAAATTCTTTTTTTTTTCTGCTATATAGAATGATTGCCTTTACAGGTGAAAATAAAATTTCCAACTTCTCAAAGTTATTGATTAACCTCTGTACTCATGTTTTCTTCAATTTTGCAGCAATTTTTCAGAGGTGACATTGAATGTCTGCAGAAGCATCAAATCTGTTTTCCCTTGAACTTCTCTTTTTCTTACTGTACTGTCTGTATCATCCCAAATTAGGAGAAAATTTAGATTAACTGAATGTGTCAGCTACATTCATCTTTACTCTCTAACCCAGCCTTTCTCTACCATGGTTCCAAGGCTCAAAGGGGCTAGGGATTTCCTGAACTATGATCAGCCTCTCATTTAATGGTGCCTGCATAGTTCTGGAGCCTACACCACATGGCAGAGCCAGCTGCCTGACACCGATGATACTTTTAGCTGTCTATAGGGGTTTCATTCTGACCACCATTGTAAGAGAGGCATTTTTCCCACTGACTTCCAATGAATTGGTTTCAGCAGGGGTTCCTCAAGATCCGCAAATTATTTCAAGGGTTGAAAAGGATGATCACGTCTGTTTTGACCTTTTGGACAGCACTGAAGTCATGAAACCAAATTACTGGCTAAGCACAAAAAAGTGTCAGCGTATCAAACATTCTGTTGGTTCCATGGTAATCAGGCTACACCAAATAGGAGACTCACACATTTTGTTTCTTTATCGAAACCTATGACAGTTGCACGTCTCATGGTCAATGCAAGGTTTGCACTCACAATATACTATGGTGTCCATATATGACACAGAGAATAGATGCGATTCAGAGGATTGCAGCTATTCTCTGGTCATTCACATTTTATGACACTCAGGAGATCAGTGGAGAACATGTTCAGCCCTTCACTGGAGATCTGTGTTCTCCCTCTAGATTCTCCAACCCAGAGCTGGAGAATCGGAGGAACCGCAAACAAAGGTGTCCATTTATGAACCAGCGGTAATAGATCGCTGCTCAATTCTCCGGCATTCTCGGAGAACACAGTTCTCCTGTGAATGCAGTTTATGAAGCAGTTCTCCGAACGAAGGGAGAGCGGTCTCCAAACGCTGGAGAATGGTCTACAAACTCTGGAAAACGGCTGATTTTACTATAATCTCGCGAGATTACAGTAAAAGATCATTTACTAAGCAGAGGTAAATTATCTCTGCTTAGTTTGCGGTCCCTCTGATTCTCCAGCTCTAGGCTGGAGAATCTGGAGGGAGAACACAGATCTCCAGCGAAGGGCTGACATGATCTCCTGAGTGTCATAAACTGTGAATGACCAGAGAATAGCTGAGATCCGTTGAATCGCAGCTATTCTCTGTGTCATAAACGGACACCTAAACAGCAATAATTTACCTCTGCTTAGTAAACTGATCTTTTACTGTAATCTCGTGAGATTACAGTAAAATCAGCTGTTTTCCAGCGTATGTAGACCGTTCTCCCTTCGTTCGGAGAACTGATCTACACCGCTTCATAAAAGGCATTCACAGGAGAACTGTGTTCTCTGAGAATGCCGGAGAACTGAGCAGCGATCATTTACCGCTGGTTCATAAACAGACACCTAAATCCATAATATGATGACTCATAGAGAACACTGTCCACCAATCACATCATGACTTTTGCACCAGTTCATGTCAAAATCTAATGATTTGACTGAAGATCCAACATTTTGGAAGCAGCCCCAGAGTTACCTTCTAACATGTGTCAAGGTACCCCAAAGGGTACACATACTCCAGTTTGAGAACCAATGAATTAAATTAACAAATAACTCTGGTCCTCCTTTAACAGCATGAAGTCAGCATTCTCTATTTGTCCTGGTGTCCACTGTCATTGAGACAAAGGGAAAATCTAAAATGTTGGGGTTGTCCCCACAGCAAGAGGTGGGTGTAAATCTTTCAATGGGGATAAAAGTTCTCGGGACAACATTCTAAGATGGGAATATTCTTACTTTTGTTAATTTTTTCTTACTTTTTGTGATATTCCCAAGATAGAGAGAGGAGGGTACTCTACCCACTGGAAAACATGTGACAAATAATTACCTGTTAGAGATTTTAGCCCTTTCCTACTATTCAAAGCCATAAAGTGCAGACTATACACACACTTTAAACTAACAAGGGTGGCAAATGATGGTCAGAACTGACACATACCAAAGATTATTATATTTGTAGGAAATAGTTACAAATATTCAGTATATAATAGCATAAAGTATAGAAAAACAGACTTACATGCTACCTTTATTGTGACGGGATCACTGTTCTCTGTACTGACAGGGTTACTAGCCTGGCATCTATAATCTCCTGAGTCTGAGCGATTAATCCTGGAGAAGATGACAGTCCTGTTATCTTGAGATAGAGTGGCCCCAGAAGGGAGAGGGGCTCCTGAGGGGACCCTGCTCCATAATATTTTCTCTGCATTAGTAGAGGTGCAGGTGAGGATGACTGAAACATTTTCTTTGGGATGCAAGGAAGAAGCTGTGATATTAGGTTTGCCAACCATGTCTGTAGATGGAGGAAGACATGGACAATTAACAGAGTTCACATAGGTCACACACTGGTCATAATTTAAAATAAACAGGTTTTCATAAACATGTTTCCAATACCAATCCATAAATATGCTATTCCACATTACATGGTTTGGATTATCTCTCAAAGCAAACCTCTGCCTTGCCCATGCATGGCTTAAAAAAACATGTGTTCTCAAAAGTCCACATCTTGCTTAACTTGCTTAATTATCCTTCTTTTGTGCCCCCATTGTTCCATTCAGCCACCAGGAGCTGAAAATAATACAAGGTTCTTTTAGGAAGGGGTACATGTGACCACTCTTCTTCCCTTAATGTGACAGCGCCAATGTTGGTGATAGGTCCAGCACTGTCACATGGGGTTGCGTACAGGCTGTCCTTTGTAAGCTCTGACAAGAGCAAATTAGTTCTTGGACTCCTGTCCTAACCACTCAAAGCTGAGGTGGCAGAAGATTGAAATAAAGACAATGTAAACCAGAAAATGAAAATTTTATACATTGCAGCTTACATGTCTTTATATGTGGTGGCTGAATAATTTTTTTCAGCCTTTTTCATTTTATTTTCTGCAGCTAATCCTGTGAATAACACCCTTTCTGTCCCTTCATGTCTAAACTTTTTACATAAGTACATAGTAAAAAAAAATAATACACAAGCAGAAGTTAAATTTGGTGAGAATCAAATGTTAAAATGAGATACAAAGATAAAAAGCAGATGCAGTGGAAAGAAAAGTTGATACGTGCCTTAAACCTCCTACATACATCTCTGCTTTTCTTTCTTTCTTTTTTTTAATTTTTTTTTCCACAAAAAAAAAAGAAACCGAGAAAAGGAAAAAAAAAGCAAAAACAAATAAAACCACTCCACAAATATCCACACTCACAAAAACACATGCACCTCATAGAGCATCTCCTTTAATCACCATTTTATAAAATTTAGCTTGAAATATCAACCTGTTATCTATTCTATAAAAGATCTCAAAATAAACTCATAAACTCAACCCAAGGGGACCAAACTGACAGATACTTATGATAACATTCATGTATAGATGCTGTCAGTTCTTCGAATCTCTTTATTCTATTTATTTCATCTATCCACTCGTTAATAGAGGGGAGAACTTGAGTATTCCAATATCTTGGTATTACTGTACGTGCCGCAGAAAATAGAAAACACGACAGTCCTCTTTTTGATGCTCTCTCAGAATCTGGAAATATAGATACAGTCATGGCCGAAATTGTTGGCACCCTTGATATTTTTCCTGAAAATCAAGTATTTCACACAAAAAAGGTATTGCATTAACACATGTTTTGCTATACACATGTTTATTCCCTTTGTATGTATTGGAACAAATATAAAACAGAGGCAGAAAAGCAAATATGACATAATGTCACACAAAACCCCAAAAATGGGCTGGACAAAAGTATTTGGCACCCTTAACTTAATATTTGGTTGCACACCCTTTGGAAAACATAACTGAAATCAGTCGCTTCCTATAACCATCAATAAGCTTCTGACACCTCTCACCCGGAATTTTGGACCACTCTTCCTTTGCAAACAGCTCCAGGTCTCTCTTATTGGAAGGACACCCTTTTCCCAACAGCAATTTTAAGATCTCTCCACAGGTGTTCAATGGGATTTAGATCTGGGCTCATTGCTGGCCACTTCAGAACTCTCCAGCGCTTCTTTGCCATCCATTTCTGAGTGCTTTTTGACGTATGTTTGGGGTCATTGTCCTGCTGGAAGACCCCAGGATCTTGGACGCAAACCCAGCTTTCTGACACTGGGCCCTACAGTGCGACCCAAAATCCTTTGGTAATCCTCAGATTTCATGATGCCTTGCACACAGTCAAGGCACCCAGTGCCAGAGGCAGCAAAACAACCCCAAAACATCATTGAACCTCCACCATATTTTACCGTAGGTACTGTGTGTTTTTGTTCTTTGTAGGCCTCATTCCGTTTTCGGTAAACAGTAGAATGATGTGCTTTACCGAAAAGCTCTATCTTGGTCTCATCTGTCCACAAGACGTTTTCCCAGAAGGCTTTTGGCTTACTCAAGTACATTTTGGCAAACTGTAGTCTTGCTTTTTTATGTCTCTGTGTCAGCAGTGGGGTCCTCCTGGGTCTCCTGCCATAGCGTTTCATTTCATTTAAATGTCGACGGATAGTTCGCGCTGACACTGATGCTCCCTGAGCCTGCAGGACAGCTTGAATGTCTTTGGAACATGTTTGGGGCTGCTTATCCACCATCCGGACTATTCTGCGTTGCAATCTTTCATCAATTTTCCTCATCCGTCCACGACCAGGGAGATTAGCTACAGTGCCATGGGTTGCAAACTTCTTGATAATGTTGCGCACTGTGGACAAAGGCAAATCTAGTTCTCTGGAGATGGACTTGTAACCTTGAGATTGTTGATATTTTGCCACAATTTTGGTTCTCAGGTCCTCAGACAGTTCTCGTCTCCTCTTTCTGTTGTCCATGCTTAGTGTGGCACAGACAGACACACAATGCAAAGGTTAAGTGAACGTCTCTCCCTTTTTATCTGCTTTCAGGTGTGATTTCTATATTGCCCACACCTGTTACTTGCCCCAGGTGAGTTTACAGGAGCATCACATGCTTGTAACATTCTTATATTTATCCGCAGTTGTGAAAGGGTGCCAATACTTTTGTCCAGCCCATTTTTGGAGGTTTTTGTGTGACATTATGTCGAATTTGCTTTCTTTCCTCCCTTTTTTTGTTTTGTCCCAATACACACAAAGGGAATAAACATGTGTATAGCAAAACATGTGTTAATGCAATACGTTTCGTGAGAAATACATGATTTCCTGGAGAAATATCAAGGGTGCCAACAATTTCGGCCATGACTGTAATTATGCCATTTCTGGGTTATCTGATAAGAAGTGCCATTAATATGTGAGCACTTCCGGAATAATAATTCCCAGAATGGTTTGATGCTAGAACAGGACCACCATATATGTGTCATTGTGCCTACTTCCTCCTCACAACGCCAACATTTTTCTAGATAGGTCTTATGTATTCGCACTGTATATCTGTACCACCTTGTTAGCATTTTATAATTTTTCTCTTGAATGGAAGTTGAAATACTAGATTTGAATGTTAGCCTAAAACATACATCTTTGCTAACTGATTTGATGGGGGTTATTTACGAAACTAGAAAGTGCAAAATCTGCTGCAGATGTGCATAGAAATCAATCAGCTTCCAGGTTTTATTGCCAAAGCTTAATTGAGCAAGCTGAAGTTACAGGCTGACTAACATGCACAGGTGCACTAGATTCTGAGTGCTCCAATTTTAGTAAATCTTCCCCGATGCAAGAGGAGAAATGTCACGCTGTAAGTTCCATTGGGACACTTTGTCTGGACTGTTGGAACAATCAACAATGCCCTTGCATATGATGTCTATGTGCCCATCAGGACTTTTATCTGTGGGAACTTGGTGGAATTCAGTTCCACCAAATCTGACTCATGCCCTCAGCTCCCTGCTCATCACTATAATTTGTAAACACAGAAGTTTGGCTTCTGTGTTTACAAGTGATAGCTTGTCCCCTAATGGCCCCCACAGATCAGATCTCCTAAGCAGACCCCACTGAGTGCAGAACAGAGACAGAGGAAATGCAGGTGCCCGGGATGCAGTGCAGTCATGGGCTAGAGAGAGCGTGTGGTAGGCTTCATCCTCTGTGGTCTCCATTTTTTTCCTTGGTGTCCACATGCTTCTGCTGGATGATCTCCCTGCTGCCTACAGTGGCAGCTTCATTAGTTTAACAATTCAAGAGTGCAGATTCCAGTACTTATAAATCCCCATCGGTAACTGGTTCTTTCTAAAATGTTAGTTTCCCTGAAGAATTTGCTTAAAAGGAATGTAGAGTGTTTTCAGCGTACCCCCTAGGGAGCTGCTAATTCAATGGGTCCTCTGATACTAGTCTTGACTGTGTTGAACCCTCTACCACTCTGAGATACCCAGTCGATTTCACATAATTTAAGATCCAACACTAACCCTGTCTCAAAAAGATGAACATATTTGTAGAGTAAGACTGTCAGGAATAGGTTCAACGGCTGATGGCACTGTGGCTCCCAGACCAGTAGATTGCAGTTCCGGTGTCCACCAGCGGGTATCTCTCAGCAGACAGTAGCCTGTACTAATTAGTCATCACCTGATGTAGGTTTCAGAGAGGATATTTAGCCCTTCCTGCCCTACTCCCCCTTGCCTTGATATTTGCCCATGTGCCTCTGACCTGCGCACTCTGCACTTTGCCTGTCTGCCTGTTCCTGTGTACCCTCTCTCTGTTCTGACTTGCTCCCTCTGCATGATTTCCTGTGCATAACCCTGGCTTTGACGCTAACTATGATCCATATGTCTGCCTGAACATAGTTATCATGCTGGCTTGGGTAGTTTGTTAGCACTGTCACTCATTAGATTCACTGGTTTTGGTTAATGGGATTTTGGTATACTGGATGTATGTTTATATTGTTATTTCAACCAAAGAACCTGACCTCTAATGAGTAATCAGATATGAGGTGGAGCTGTAAGACAATCCATATGCATAAAATCACTCCAAACAACATATCAATACAATGAATCCACACAAATAAAAAAAATATACACAAATATAAATGAATAGAACAATCCACATATACTGTAGATACTGTATAAAGTGCAGTCCACTCCACCAGTGCTATGGTGTCAAAAGTCCCATGTGAAAAATTAGGTCCAAGCGAATTGAAGATCCGCGTGATATACTGTATATCACTCCACCTTGTATGAAGCATGCAATCCACTCCCCGAAATTTAGGAAAATCACCATCTCACATGCCTTCATTTACTAATAGGCAATAACGCATGGGGGATGCATAGATTCCACCTCTTATAATGGATCATTTGTTTTCACTTCAATTCTCCATTAAGGAGTCACTCAGGCAGCATAACAAAAAAAAAATAAAGGCGCTAATAGTGTAAAACCATATAACCAATTCATCCTCCATCCTCCATTCATC